AGAGTGCTGACCTCGACCTTAAACCATCGCTGGATGCGTTGGAAGCGCTAAAGCGCGCAAAGCGTGGCGCATCACCTGCAAGCCGAGAAATCAAACGCGGAAACAACGGTCAACGTGGTAAAGCGCAGTGTTGTGCCAAAATGCCAGTGACGTTAAAGAGAAAGAGAGAGGAGATATTAAAGTCAAGGCTAACCACTCGCACTGTCTTTCCTGTAGGTGTTGAGCTGAGAGAAAGAGTGACTGGTGACATAATCAATGCAACACAACTCAACTTACATTTGTAGGCAAAGGTAAATTGTCAGTAAATTGAAATGATCAAATCAGAAAGCACTTCTGAAATGACGAGAAACAGAAATCGTCAAGCTCAAACAAGCGAAAAATTAGAGTAGAATCCGGTAAATGGGAATAACAGGCAAAACCGGAATAGCACTTTTTTCTGCTTGAAGACACTGACGTAAAGAGCAACGGTTTTTCAGAGGTCATTAGCAGAGGGGAAAGATTCAAGATTAACTATGAAGAGTGATTAGCAATGAGAAGAGATGCAGAAAGGTCAAGACAGTGCCGGCTTGTTTAAGCAAATGGCCAATGACCTTTCAGAGGATGCAACAAAAACAAGAGTGTGCAACAGATGGTCGTCACTGCTAAATTCATCTGAGAAACAAAAAACTGTTTTGCTGCTGGTAATGAGAATCGAAAGCTCTAGAATAAAAATTACAATACCAGACAGTGATGATGCAAAGGGAGGAATTAAATAAATTGAGCCTTGTTGAGCACAAGTCTTCACACTCTGCTTGGCTGAATGATATGTGCAGCCACGGCACTGTGAGCACCGAGTATATAAATGCAATGTGAGACGACAGTGCAAATACACACACACCGAAGTAGTGGTGTAGTGGTTCGTAAATGGACTGGCGAAGACTTGATTGCGACAAGGTGGTGTACGAGAGAGGCAGGTATTGGTATTGGCAGTGATAGTGGTGGCCGCCGATTCGCATCATCACTCGTCACAACTGTCGCGTTACGTCAATGGCTCCCTGCTTGTACACACCTGAAGAGGAACAGACGGGGACGGGGAGAGAGGGGGCTTTGACAATGGCTCCAAGTGCACACACGCTCTTTCTCTTCTTTGAAGTTAGGAGGGACTTTTTTCCACTAGATAGCAAACTGCAGCACTGTCCAAACGATTTCACTACAATCGAGTAGTATTGAGCAAATAACAANCGCATCATCACTCGTCACAACTGTCGCGTTACGTCAATGGCTCCCTGCTTGTACACACCTGAAGAGGAACAGACGGGGACGGGGAGAGAGGGGGCTTTGACAATGGCTCCAAGTGCACACACGCTCTTTCTCTTCTTTGAAGTTAGGAGGGACTTTTTTTCCACTAGATAGCAAACTGCAGCACTGTCCAAACGATTTCACTACAATCGAGTAGTATTGAGCAAATAACAATTCTTCTTGTCAAACTGCAAAATTAGAACACACCTGAGCATACACCACCACCTTGATAGGATAATAATTGCTCGATCAAGTTGTATTCAAAAAACTGAGGGCTGAGGGCATTACTGGAAATTAATTTAACAATATCTCGGCAATTGATCAAGCAGGAACAAACAAGTTAGGCTCACGAGGAAGTTTATATACTTACCACTGTTAAACAGTTACTGAGCGATATACNGTTGTATTCAAAAAACTGAGGGCTGAGGGCATTACTGGAAATTAATTTAACAATATCTCGGCAATTGATCAAGCAGGAACAAACAAGTTAGGCTCACGAGGAAGTTTATATACTTACCACTGTTAAACAGTTACTGAGCGATATACAAACCTTGAATATTGACACGATAAAAAAGAATTCGGCTGAATAAATAAATTCAAAAGCTCTGCTTCCTCTGAAGAGTGATCATTTGTACAAAAGTGTAGTCATTGCCTTCAAAATGGACGAATCAGTGCATGTATTGCATTAATGACTGGGCGATTTATTGCTAATAACCTGAACACTGAATATGTCACACTAATGTCACACAAACTAGTCGAATCAATCAATGAGATGGAGGTACTTGAGCACAAAAGGTATGCCATAGAACATAAAAAATGAAAGGCAATGTCTCAAGCTACTTTGATAAGATACGAAATCATATTTAGATATGCAGATAAAGTCAACTCTGATTGCTGCGGCACGTGATTGGTGAAATTATATATTTTGTGAGGAGTGTAATAAGTGCACTCAAAAAACTTAAATAAAAGGGTATTTCTTGGTTAAAACGTTAATGACATACCAGGTAAAAGGGAAGTTTTCAACACTTGACCGGTACAATTCTTGGAGATGGTTTTCCGCTTCAATAAAAAAAACTTTCCTTGCGAATAGATGCTTTTTTTCTCACTTCACAGTTGAATTTAAATAGTCTTTTGATGAGCCAATCTTGGCTAATAGAAAAAAATCACTATTGTGTGGCGATAAGAGGAGACCAATGTTCTCTGCACGACATAGATATGAGACACTTTTCTTTTGATGACTTAGATTGGTGAAAATGAAAGTTGAAGTTTGTACTTAAGGTTTGGGTACAAGTAACGGAGCAGGCATTGAGCTCGTGCGATTAAAAAGTGAAAGCCATGCTTTTTATTGGTGAAGCTGCATGTTGCACTTGAAGCGGCGAACATTCAACGTCACCCTTTTTTAAAAAAATTTAGTCCAGACCGAATGAAAGGGAAAGTTTTTCTGTAAAAGATAATGATTGCAGTAAACATTTACAGTTAGAGTCATTAATGGCAACAGTCAACCAGGGCAGAAGTATACTTACGCCCGAGTGCCGAACTCACAGCAGCGTCAACTGATTAGCAAGTGGTGGTGAAACTGGATCATTGAGGATGTTGTTCACTGCTGAGCTCACTCACTAACTCACTATCGCTGGCATCATTTCACCAAACTCGATCCTGGTCACAGTTTTGGTGAGGCTGTACGGTGTTCGGCTGGTGAAGATGACTTTTTCACCACCAAGTGTACAACAAAAATCTGTCAGAAAAAAACACAGCGTCTGTTTCGACCTGCGCACTTGTCGATGTAAATGTAGTGGCCGCCAATGTTACGTCCTCTGCGAATCAGCTTAGAAACAGTACAGTGCAGAGAGCAGTTTGAACGCTCCCCGTTTCCCAACTTTGGCCTTTTCTGTGCTAGACAGTGCTGCCGCCTTTTGCATGCAGCAAAGGCTAGGGTGGAGGAGAGTGTGCGTCTAAACTTTTGTCAGCGGCAGCACGCTGCCGTGCGGCAGCTTCCCTTCGCTGAACGAGAGCTTCCTCTGAACGAGAACCACGCACTGCACGTTCCTTTCTGAATCTGCTGCTGGTCAGAGCACACGTGTCTGCCGACCATCATGGTAAGTCTGCTGATTTCTCCTTGCCCCGGTCCCGAGACTTTGAACTTGTGACTTCAACTTTAACCTGCCACCTGAACAGAACATCCCGCCAGTGCTAAGCAAGCATTGCTCGTGTGTTTACCGCTGACTAACATTCATTTTTCTCCCACGTTTAGTCTCACCGAAAGTTCTCTGCTCCCCGCCATGGCTCGATGGCCTTTGCGCCCAAGAAGCGCAGCAAGCGTCATCGTGGCAAGGTAAAGGCTTTCCCGAAGGATGACCAGTCCAAGCCCATCCACCTGACCGCTTTTGTGGCCTACAAAGCCGGCATGACCCATATCGTTCGCGAAGTCGACAAGCCCGGCTCCAAGATCAACAAGAAGGAGGTCGTCGAAGCGGTGACCATCCTGGAGACGCCGCCGATAGTCATTGTCGGCGTGGTCGGCTACATCGAGACTCCCAAGGGTCTGCGCCCCTTCAAGACCGTCTGGGCTGAGCACCTGAGCGAGGAGTGCCGCCGCCGCTTCTACAAGAACTGGTAAATTATTTAATTCACTGTATTTTGATTTGTTAAGTCTGAATCGGAACAATCTCTACCGGCTCCACTGCGAACTTCCGGTGTTTGCACGAGCCAGTAGAACCGTTTTCACTCTGAAATGAATCTGTCTCCGCTCACCTCGGTCGTCGCATGTGATGAGACAATTCTCTGCTCATATCTTTCTTTCCTTTTATGCAACCACACATAATAGGTACAAGTCGAAGAAGAAGGCCTTCTCCAAGTACGCCAAGAAGTGGGCTGATCCTCTTGGCAAGCGAGAGATCGACATGGATCTGGCTCGCATCAAGAAGTACTGCACCGTTGTGCGTGTGATTGCTCACACCCAGATGCGCCTGATGAAGAAACGCCAAAAGAAATCCCACATCATGGAGATCCAGGTGAACGGTGGCACGGTCTCCCAGAAGGTCGACTGGGCCCGCGCCCACTTTGAGAAGCCCGTCTCCATCGAGAGCGTCTTTGCCCAGGACGAGATGATCGACGTGATCGGTGTCACCAAGGGCAAAGGCTTCAAGGGCGTAACGAGTCGCTGGCACACGAAAAAACTTCCCAGGAAAACTCACAAGGGCTTGCGCAAAGTCGCGTGTATTGGTGCTTGGCATCCCAGTCGAGTGCAGTTCACTGTGGCTCGTGCCGGTCAGAAGGGCTACCACCACCGAACGGAGATCAACAAGAAGATCTACAAGATTGGCAAGGGCGGTAAGGACGCCAAGAACAACGGCTCCACCGAGTACGACTTGACCGAGAAGAACATCACTCCCATGGTAAGTGCGCTTGTGTGCAGTAGCAGTTTCAGTCTATTAACTTATGTCAGTGATGATAAACCAAGTGTACCAAAATACACCTCCTAATCTATACATGTAGATAACCTAGGGCGGACTGAAATCTAAAGATTGAAACTACCTTTTGTCTTGTTTGATTTTCCGTGAACTAATCATCTTTCTCCTTCTCTACAGGGTGGCTTCCCCCACTATGGAACGGTCAACTGCGACTACTTGATGCTCAAGGGCTGCACTGCCGGTCCCAAGAAGCGTGTCCTCACTCTCCGAAAGGTAAGATCGGTTAACCAGTTGCAAAGTGCACATATAAATTGATAGCGTGATGAACTAATCATAGAGCCTATTTCGTTGTATGAAAAAGCAATGATTTTGAAAATGATAGGGCTGACTCAAGCACTTGCACACCAACATCCGTTTCATTGTTTCGCCTTACTAATCTCTCCCCTGTTTCTACTTTGCAGTCCCTGCTCGTGCAAACCAAGCGTTCCGCTTTGGAAAAGATCAACCTCAAGTTCATCGACACTTCCTCGAAGTTCGGTCACGGCAAGTTCCAGACCATCAACGAGAAGCGAGCTTTCATGGTAGGCACTAGTCGTTTTCACCCTCTTCCCCCAGCCTCTACCTAGATGATGAATGCATGCGTTCTGTATAATCTGTGGAGAATCATTTTTATGCTTTCTGCCTTCCTTCTGATTCTTGTTATCGCTAACCCATTACCTCGCCGTCTTTTTGATCAAACACTAACTCCCTTCTACTTTTACTCTTTGACAACAGGGCCCTCTCAAGAAGGATCGACTCGCTGCCGAGGCCAAGACCACTGCTGCTGTTTAAGCGCACTTTTTGTGTTGATATTTTGAAAATAAAAATTTTATAAAAAAGCAAAACTATTTATATTCGATCAACGAGTTCTTTGTTTTTAGTTTCGGGTAGAAAGAGCGTGAGGAATGCAGTGACGAAGGACATGCTGCCGAAGATGACCATGGTCACGGTGAGGCCGACAGAGAGGGTCTGTGAGTGAATTGGAAAGGTTAGAGTCGATTGTTCAAAAGGAAAAGGTTCTAATACTCACCAGTTCCCTTATCCATGGTGCGACTGTAGAGCCAGCTCGGGCAGCTATTGAGCAGGAACTGACACCGGTGTGTCGCAGCTGCGTCGGGTAGATTTCACCTAAGACAACAATTTGGTTAATTGAATGGTTTACTCAGTCAGTCAATGAATACCTGCGTGAATGTAAATGGCATTGTAGGTGCTGAAGATGAACAGCTTGCCGAGCATGCTCAGCGTCACCACTGCCCAGTGGTCGACTGGCCACCAGAGCTGGAGAAGTACGATGGCCGAGTAGCACAGAGCGGCAATGAGTATGGTGGCTATGGTGAAGCTCTTCCGACCAGTGTACCGAAGTCCAATCAGATTGAGGGCAGTGCTGGGAATCTCGATGAGGCCAGCCAGCAGAAAGTTCTGGTACACACTGCCACCGAGGATGTCCACGTTCAAGTTGAAGCCGTGGTAGATGAAGCCTAGTCGGGGGAAAAGTGCTGTTAGAAGCAGGTGTTTGAGAATCATTTGGAGAGCACTCGAACCGTTGATGTAGAAAGACGACCAGAGGATGAAGGTAATGCTGCGGTACTGTCGACTGCACAGCAGATCCCAAATGGTTGACTTTTTCTCGTCACCACCATCGTCTTTCTCCTGTTTCAGTCTGTCAGTTTCATTCGTCTGCACTGTCTGCTCAATGATGAGCATCTCAAATTGACTTTCAAAGTCGTCCTTCAGTCGTCCATTGGTGCGACAGGCATTTCGCAGCAGCTCACGTGCCTCTTTGAATCGCTTCTTGGTAAGAAGCCACCTCGGCGACTCGGGAATGTGCGGCAGCCAGAAAATGAACATGACGGCCATTATCACAGAGGGCACCAATTGAAGGTAGCGAAAGTTCAGCACCAGGTAGGCAACCAGAGGCAGTAGAAGGTAGCCAACTACCCAGCCAAAACTGGTGAGCAGAACTACGTCAGTGCGGTATTTGATGCCTACCTAAAAGCAAAATTAAGTTCTGACAAAATACTTTAAACCCTTTTACCGTCTCTAGAATTAACATGTACAGGCACATTCCACGACCGCTATCCCCGAATCCCAGGACAAATCGTGACAGTGTGTAGACGTATATTGAATTGGAGGTGATCAAGAGGATGCCACCGAGAAGTTCAAAAAGCAGCGCCACAAAGAGTGCTCGGAAGCGTCCATAAGAGTCGGACAGGTAGCCGATTAAGATGCCGCTCAGGACATAGCCCATCTGGTAGATGGACTGCGAAAATGAGCCCATCCATTCTCGACCACAGGTGAGGCCAAACTGTAAATGGCAAAGTTAGTTGGAAACGAAATCATACGTTATCATCAATACTTACCTCTGAGATGATGGTTTGCTCAAAGTTGACCGAGTTGTTGAAAGACCACTGAAGGCACTGCTGGTCACACTGATCTCCTTCTCCCGGCAATTGGGCACTGTCATTAGAAGAGCCCTCTTCCCATTGCAAACAGTGGTAGTCAGTTTTGGCGGCGTGAAAGGAGACTCCCAGGTTGTTAAAGGTGGTGAGCACGTAGGCGAGAAAGTAGAAGGCGGCAATGTTCGCCTGCCACCATCCAAACTGACCGATCAGTCCCGAGACGGTGACCTTGCCGTCCTTGTCGTCTGCCAGCGATTGCGACTCATCATCATCATCAGTGATCCGCTGGTGCAGCCTTGCCTCCACATCCACTGCTGATACCTTACTACTTTGGTCAGGTGGTGGTGAGGTGCCAAGGCCCGGACTCTTTCCGGACTCATCTGACATTGGCCGACACTGGTCTGCGCTGGTGATGTTGTTGTTGTCGTTGTGCGCAAAGATGCTGTCAGATGATGCTGTGCCTGTATTCTTCTTCTCTTCGCAACTTGTTGCTTGTGGTGCCTCCTCTTCTAGCGTCTGCACATCACTGGAAAACTGAGAAACACCGCACAATACCGTTGCACTCTTGAAGACTTCTTCATCTACACTCTCTGTCGTTGGCCATTCTATTTATACGACATTGAGCCTTACTTGGCGTACGAAACGCACGTCTGCTTGTCGAACAGTGCAAAGGCGTTTATCAAAAGAGCACACCGCCGCCACATCCAATCTCTGCTTTTTCATTGACACTTGATCCTTTCTTTTCCTCTCTTAACAACTCCAAATTGCTATCGCCTATTCGTTCAGTTTATCAATCCTGTTGGCACTGGCAATCCAACTCGATGATCAATGTCTGTCTCACAGCACGTGTTGCTAGCAAAACACCTTCAAACGTTCACAATGGACTTTCAGCTTTTATTTACTTAAACTTTGCACACGCAAACAAATTGTTATTGTTAGTAAACGGATTTACTGGGAAATCTATTGGGAGGTTTCATGCACTCATTGTCAGGCGTCCAGCGCCAACAATCAGTTTCTCAGCATCATCGACCCTTTACCGCTTGGGCGAGGGCAATAAAAGCATTGGTCAGAATCGGATAACCGGCAAAAAATTAAAATGTTTAGCAAAAATAGCCGTTGGTTGTCTGAAAAGACCAAGATGAAGTCTGCGTTTATTTCGGTCACTAAATCGATAAAATACAAAAAGAAGAAAAAGAAGAAGAAAAGTAGTAAAAACTAAAACAGTCGGTGAGAAGTGCATTACAGAATCAGACAATAGGCCCTCTATTTGAACTGATAAGATTTGATGAACGTGAGTCACACTGCTGTTGCGCCACTGCGGTGATTGGAAAGATGCTGCCCGTTTACGTGAATTATCAAATCACTGTATCGATGATCTCTGCATCAGTCGAGTTTGTAAAACAGTTTTCACTTGTTTTTAGTTTTCTTCTTCGCTTTTACAATTTTTCATCTAGCTTTGTGCACCATTTTACTTTTATTGTGTTTTTATGGTACTTCATAGTCATGAAGAGATCTCTCGGCTTGGTGAGTGCTTCAATCACCACTGAATTTGTTGTAAATGCTAACTTTTGTTTTGTCATTCTTTTACAGAGTCGCGCCAAAGGGTCAAAGTTACACTCCAAAAGGCAAACTGACAAACTGGATTCGAGTAAAAGTTTATCGCTTTCTAGCTGCAACGAGGTTGATTCGGGATTGAGTTCCGCTGAAGAAGACAAGGTGCCTAATAGTGCAAATCATTTTCATTCGCTCATACTTGTTTCTATTTAGTCGCAGAGTGGTGATGGCAGTTCTGGCACTTTCAAAGTGCAACTTTTTCGTCAAAGTCCATCCACAAGCAGTTCCAGCATGGTCTCCGATGCTCACCAATCCGAATCAGCCTGCACTAGTGCACTTTCTGGAAACGTGAATCAAACACTCGAATCAAACTCAACCAGTGCGCCAAGGACCACTTTGGTCAGTTCAGTCCCGAGCGTTTGTTTACCAAGCACCAGTTCAGCCGCAGTGTCCGCATCATCCTCACCGTCATCAC